TGAACGGCGTAAACGGGGGAAAAAACAAGATTCTCATTGCGATGTGAATTTTGAAAGAAATTTCCATTTATTAAATGACATGAAAAATAATAATAATAATAGCACAGAATACAAAACACACAAAACAAGCTTGCACAAAATAACAACTAATTACAATTCTGATAGGCCCATACAAACAGTTGTAATTATTATCAACAAAATGTTCACTTCGATTCATAGAACTGTCGAAAGGAGTTTAGAATTGTGCAAATTTACAGATGTCGCTGAGTTTCTGGTTTGTTTAAACATCAGTTCAATTTTACAAACTGAGATCTCGCATTTTCATAAAATGTTCACAAACAACTATATAAAGATAATCACATATCTCTCTAAATTTTTAAAAATTTCTCCTTTTTGCTTTCTTTTCCTTTTCTTTCTTTCTGCTTCTTCTCGTTCTTTTTCTTCTGTCATTTCCTCTTTTTTTGTTACTTTCTTTTCTTCGTCGTAGGCGTCATCCCTCAGTTTTTTCCTTTCCTAGCAACTGCTAATAACTTTAATCTGGGAAAGCCAAGTCTCTCGTATCTGTCAGACAAGCCGGACTTCTTAAATAGTTCCAGATCGGTTCCAAATACGATAAGAAATTTAATACTCTGGGTTCGTACTTTACCTTCCTCGTTAAGGCAGATTGATTTTTCACTGTTTTCGAAAATCAGTATTGCGTACGACGTGAAAGCTGTGGTTTGATGTGATACGTACTGACACCAAAAGATAAATTTATAGCTTTTATCAATTTTTGAGCATTTACTTTTAAAGATCGTCGGAAAAATGTACAGAAATGCCTAATTTCTGCAGGTTTTTGCTTACAAATTGACTTCAAAACTATTTCAAGAATAAATCCACATAAAGTTGATGTTTTTTTGTATTCGATACATTGAATGGAAAATATACTCAAACCAGAATTCTAATTATGAATCACCACAAATATGCAATTTTTTACTTCACTCAATAAGAGAAATCTGTAAAAATTGTTAAAGATCACAAAAATAACTAATTAATTAAAAAAAAAAACTTTTAATGGCTTTTATCAAGAATATTTTTATTATCTGAAGCGAAAATATTTTTTCGATAGAAAATGAAGTTTTACAAGAATTGTTTTCTTTTTTTTTAATTTTACAAACAAAAATGTGATAAAGTTAAAAATTTTAGAATTAAGTTTGAAGCTGTGAATCTCTGGAAATGCTCTTATTAAAAGATCTACTTTTTACAGATCTTAAAATTTGAAAGCTTATTACATTCTGCGAAGCGGTGTATTTTTACAATAATATTTTAATATGCGAAATGGCATTTCGGTCTATCTGCTGATTTACACACCAAACCGCATTTAGTGAAGATGGCAGGATTTTGAGTGAAGCAGGCTGGAATGTTTTGTAGAGGTAAAGAGAACAAACAAGACCAATATATATATGTTAACAAATATATGTATCAAACAACAAATTTACAAGTGACAAAGACATTAATATTTGTGTTTGTGAGTGAACGTAAAGAGTTTTTTGTATTTTGGTGAATGTTCGTACGTACGTGTGTGTATAATGTTTACGGCGTCTCCCACAAATAGGAAGACGCTTATCTTTTGCGAGAACTTACATTGTAGATGTGTTGACTGAAATGCAAAGTGAAAAAGAGAACGAGGCGATAAGTCGCCCAGTATTTATAGTGTAGAGAGAGCGACCCCTGGTGAACAATTAGGGAATTAAGGAGGAGTTAACTCCGACAGTTTTATCGACTCTTGGTGTTTGATCTTAGATCACTAAGATGAACCAAACGAAATTTTAAACCTTGATGGCAAACTGACCTCCATTTTCACTGATCATCAGCTAGAGCTACAAAAGAAATAAAAGGTTGACAGAGTTATTAAGATTGTAATTCAGTTTGTGTTTATATTTGAGTCGGGGTCTGCCGACATTTGTACGTTCACCACCCTGACGCTGGCAGTATAATAGTCTGAGGACCTCGGTCATTCGTAGGATATGACCGACCCATCTGAGTTGAAATTGTATCAAAAATGACTCAATTCCGCCGATGTTGCAATTTCATTATATATATATATATTTAAGTAATATTTAAGTAATGAAAATCTTGGTAATCCGTATGGATAATCCCAGAGAGGATGAAATCGGGAGAGCTCAATGTTAAATCAGAGCGATTAATTTAATTTAATGAAAACGGACAACTTTAAGGGTCCATGGTTATAATTCCAAGTGTGGTCTGATGATCCAGGTTAAAAGAAACTCCCTGTGGAAATAAATTATAACCATGGACCCTTAAAGTTTATTTATATTAAATTATATATATATTATATATATATATATATATATATATATATATATATATATATATATATATATATATATGTAATATATATATGAAGAACTTGGTAAACCGTATGGGTAATCCCAAGGAGGATGAAATCCTGAGAGCTCAATGTAAATCCAGAGGGTAATATTTAATATTTATGATCCGGCGTCCTTTTAAAAGGACTCTGGTGAAATAAATTATTGTAATGGTACCTTAAAAGTGGTCTGTTTTTTTTTTAAATATATATATATATATATATATATATATATATATATATATATATGTTTATACGTTATTTTTATAATATAATTTATTTTAATTAAATGCTCTGTTTTTTTTAATTAAACACTATTAATTACGTTTACCAGCTTGAATGTTCGAGAAATTTCATAGAAAATATGCGTTCTCCGACAGGAATCGAACCTGTATTCCGAAACGGAACCCTCGTTTGACTTGACGTGCTGTACCGTTCGGGTACAAGTTGACAGCTACATGTTGTCTACGAAATTTCTCAAACATTTAGGCTGATAAATGTAATTAATACTGTTTAATTAAAAACGGAGCATTTACTTAAATAAATTGTATCTATAAAAATAACGGATAAACAGAAAATATATGAAATAATTACCGGACTTAATCCATTTCATGATATGTTGTCATTTTTTACGTATAATACGTTTCGTGAGCAGAAATGATCGATCGATAAAAATCGTCGAAGATTATGTGTTTATATATGCGTTTGTGTATTTGGGCAGCAATCTCCCTTTTATACAAGTTTCCTTGAAGATGTAATTAAGCTTTTTATTTATTTATTTTTTTATTTTTGCATTCGTAGAAGTGATTTATTTTCTG